AACCAACTGAGCCACCCAGGCGCCCAGAATTCTAGTATATTTTAATTCTACTTTTGTTCTAGGTGAAAAAATCCCTAATTTTAGAATTGAAAATTGGTGGAAAAATTAGGATTTGGTATAAACAAATATTACAGCTACCTTTTTCAGAACCATAAGTAATCTATACAGCTGTATAAAACATGTATTCCTTACAAGCTGTATAGAAAAAAAAAAAATCACGTGTGTAGTACTCACTGAATACTTGATAGTGCTAAATCAAGAATGAGAGAACAAAAGATTCCATATAGCTGACAGTTTCCCCAGAGGGGTTTAACCCTTTTCATATTAAAAGAACTTAACCTCAGAGACATTAATGGAAGTGAAATAAGCCAGACACAAAAGGACAAATATTTCATGATTCCACTTATGCGAGGTATCTAGAATAGTCCAAGGGCCTGTGGAGGAGAATTGGGGGAGTTACTGATTAATTGGTACAGAATTTGAGCTTGGGATGATGAAAAATTCCGAAGATGGATAGTGGTGATGGTTGTACAACAGTGTGAATGTATTTAATGTCAATGAAGTATACACTTAAAAATGGCAAATTTTATGCTGGATACATTTTACCATAATTAAAGAAAGTAAACCAATGAGATACACCTAAGAAAATCAGTGAGTGGTACTATCTGGATATAGAAGACAGGATGATGTCATTTTACTGTTATTTTTTTTTTTTATTTTTACTTATTTACTGGATAAGTTGTATCTATACTTTAATATAGTCATTCTCAAATCTTAGTGTTATTTCTTAATGCTACTATAGATACTTATCTTATTTACAAATTACTTCAACAGGCTAATTTAGAACAGAAGATTTCAAGTACATTTCAGTGTAGATTCTGTCCTTTATTAATTATCATTTTTGGCTTTTTGTCACTTAATCTTTGGGATCTGTGATTCAGACACTATTTTGAGCATTTGGAATGTAGCAGTGAACGAAACCAACAAAAATCCCCATCTTATTGGAGCTTACATTTTAATGTTCCTCATTCCTTATTGTGAAGAAATTTTCATTTCATGAAAATCATTTGTGGACTTTTCAGCAACTTCGAACCCTACGCATGTAGTACAACACCCCAAAATCAGGAGCTGATACCCGTGCTCCTCAGTCCTGATGTGTCTGTCCTCTTTTTTTATAATCTCTATAGGTTAGTAGGTTAATATGCTCTATAGAATAGATTGCTATTTAATGCCCAACAGACATTTTAAGTTATCTGGACTTACTAGTATAGAACTTATTAGACTAATAGATTACAGTTAATTCTTAACACAGGTTTGAACTGTGTGGGTCCACTTATATGCTGATTTTTTTTTTACAGTTTAGTACTGAAAATGTATTATCTTTTCTTATGATTTTCTTTTTAAAGATTTTATTTATTTATTTGACAGAGAGACACAGCGAGTGAGGGAACACAAGCAAGGGGAGTGGGAGAGGAAGAAGCAGGCTTCCCACTGAGCATGGAGCCCAATGTGGGGCTCGATCCCAGGACCCTTGGATCATGACCCGAGCCAAAGGCAGCTGCTTAACAACTGAGCCACCCAGGCGCCCCTCCTTATGATTTTCTTAATAACATTTTCTTTATCTTACTTTATTGTAAGACTACAGTATAAAATACATATAACATACAAAATATCTGTTAATTGACTGTTTATGTTATTGGTAAGCCTTCTAGTCAACAGTAGACTATTAGTAGTTAGGTTTTTGGGGAGTCAAAGTTATACGTGAAGATTTTGAACTGTGTGGGGGTTAGCACCCCTAATTAACACGTTTTTCAAGGGTCAACTGTGTACTTATTTATTTTAAAAAAAATGGTTGATTAATCATGCTGTTTTAATTTCTTAGAGATGTTCATGTTACATCTATATTTGATTCTGTCATTTCTGATTTTTTTTTTTAAAGATTTTATTTATTTATTGGACAGAGAGAGACATAGCGAGAGAGGGAACACAAGCAGGGGGAGTGGGAGAGGGAGAAGCAGGCTTCCCCGCGGAGCAGGGAGCCCGATGTGGGGCTCGATCCCAGGACCCTGAGATCACGACCTGAGCCGAAGGCAGACGCTTAACCGACTGAGCCACCCAGGCGCCCCTCTGTCATTTCTGATTTTAATGAATCATTTCTTTGCCATTTATTTAATAGAATATGATTTTGGCAAGTCATTTAAACTGCGTGTAAACTAGAGGTGATAATATTGCCTGTGAATCAACTAGTGCTTTTTCTTATACACTGTATTAGTTTCTCTTTTCTCTTCTTCCCTAATCCACATTCTGGTTGTTTCTTTATAAAAGAGGAACTTATGTTTTGTTGAATCCACATTGCCATTCAAAAGCTTGTTTCTAGTATTAGTAAGTATGTTCTGTTCCACACTGGAGCATGCCAGCTACCTCCCATCCCCTGTACCCTGTTGTCCCCAGGACCACTGTCATGTTCTCTTCCCTAGTTGGGGCCTGTTATCTTGATCTTCGGTTAGTTTCTTTATCCAGAATATTTCTCTTTGTAAGTATTCCCCAGCCCCGTAATTCTACTTGATTTACTGACCAAAAGACATAATAACTTTGAATAAACAGCATGAAAATGATGCATAATTAGCCTCTCAAAAGCACCTGAGAGTAATAAAACAGTTTTACCAGCAAAAGACAGAAGCTTAGAAAAGCAAGAAATGGCTAGAGTATGTCCTGGGAAAACATGAATTTTTGCCACTTTCCTCCTTTTATCCACTCATATGTGTTCTTTATAAAATTCTAACCAGTTTTCTTAAATGCTGTCTTATGTTTTCTTTCTGGATATCTTTGGTGGGGGAGAAACAATGATGGCCTTCATAACTATGCCAGTTAAGGTTTTACCTAGCCCATCATTCCCTCCCAGACTTTTCTCTCCAAAGTCCAAGTAGGCCCAGGCTCCATAAAGACAGGATTGAGGGAGTTGCTGAACAGTGGCAGATCACCAGTCTACCAGCATCATACCTTAAACTTGTGCCTTATTGCCCTTTAAAGACCTAAATGTGTGGCTCAACAGTCAGTCATCTTTAACTTATTTCTTTCCTTCAGTTTCTTGATTAGTAATAACCAAATCTGTTCTGACTGATTTTCAGACCTTTCTCATTTTTCCATTCTTTCATGCCCGTCCCTTCATGTAATATTTCCTTAATAGATTTCCAGTTTATAATCTTATCTTCTTTATATCTACCACTACTAGAATATTCCTCAAATACTGTTTCTCATTCTGCCATCCTTTTATTCATTGTATTGTAGTGGGCCCCTGTTGTTCATCAAATGAAAATTTCTGTTTGATATTTAAAGTCTTTTCTGTTGCTGCAGTGAAGTATTTTTGTAAGTACTTTTTATAAATTTTTTTTTTACCTTTATTTTAGCCTCATATGGAAGGGGACAGATTATATCTTTGTCTTGGTGTTCTTCGTTGCGATTAAGCGAATACATAGTAGATTATCAAAACATGATGGACCAGTTGAGAAGTCCTGATTGATAAGGCAAGATGTACCTTAGGACTGAGTTGATTATTTTCTCAGAACAGTTTAATTAATTCAGGTGAATCATACTGATTTTTAAGTTGAATTTGATAGAAGTAATAAGTATCCTAAATAGCATGACATCTGATTACGTTTGTATTTTTATTTGGAGGAAGGTATTACAGAAAGATTGTACGTAGATTGTGTTGTTTATTCTAGGTACTTATGCTATAAGCCCTACTTAAAGTAATGACCTCATAAGAAATTTAAAACATCTTAACCTTTAGCCTTTTTTTGCTATAAAAAGCAGTTGACTTTGTGTGGAATATTCAAAAAAATGCAAAGAACATGGCTGTTTTTCCTTAAAATTCAAAGACCTATTTAGTATATATTTTTTTGAAAAAATAGTAAATAAATATGGTTTTACAAATTTTCATTTCAGTTGCTTTTGCCAAGAGTAAGTTATTTGACGTTGGTAACTGACAAAGTGAAAAAGCACTTTCAGAAGGTTATGAGACAAGAAGACATTAGTGAGATATGGTTTGAATATGAAGGCACACCACTGAAATGGTGAGTGAATTTTTCTGCATTATTAAGCATTGAGTATATGCTAGCTTTATGAAGGTATAGTGCCCTGAGGCAATTTTTAAAAAGTTATATAAAGAAAGAAATCACTAGTCTAGCTCATATAATACAGTGAATTTTAAACTATTGTTTAAATATTTTATTGAAAATATTTCTGCCTTCTTTTGGATGCATGGGAGACTGGACAAATTTGTATATATTTTCAACAATAGATTTTTCAGTGGCATAATAATAGTGTATTTGGTTATGGTTTTTTTTTCCCAGACGTATTTAAGACTCCCTAATGAATAAGTCACTCTGTGACACTATGCAATTTTGTTTCTATCTCCAAAATTTTTGTAACAGATCTTTATATACACATGATTACCTAAAATGGCATCTTTCAAACTGATTGCCACATTTAGTGCCATATGCACATTTTATCTAGCCTTGGCTTAGTATTTAAAATATATTGATTTCCTTTTTATGTGAAAAATAATTTTGATATTATATCATTCTTAAGAAACGTATTGAAAATAAATCCTAAATGTGGGCTTATCCATGTTCAGATGATGTATTTTTGTATTTCCTCTGTTACTAAGAGTTTTGTAAATTGTGCTTCCAAAAATATTTAATGAAACTGGAGAAATTACAGAGAAGAATATAAAAAATGGTTCAAGGTATGCTGGGATGTAGGTGTCGAAATGCTGCTATGTGAATGTAGTTGAATGAAAAAGTCAAAACTTAACCATGAACAATATAAGTAGGTTAGAGGTGGGCTTACTTTCTAAATCTGGAGTATTAAAATGAAGAGTTTTAAAAGAGGCTCATAAAAAAGGAAGCTAGTAGATGTTTAATAAGTGCAGCTGACTTGAATATAAGCATTACTTAGAAATAAGGAGTGAACTCTTGGAACTCACCTCATGCTGATGAATTCCCACAAGTGAGTAGATTTTCATAACAGTTTAGAAATACACAAAGTGATATTTTGTATTGATTTTGGAAACAAGGGGATTTTGTATTGAGTTATAGGTCACGTCTCCAGCCTTTTGAGGCAGTTCTGGGAAAGGATGACAAAGTTCTTTATAGCATTCATTTTTAAGTAAAAACAGTATTGACAAGCTTCATGATCCTGTATATCAGACTCATAACTCTTGAATAGTTCTAGACCTCAGGCAGCATAGATAAGTCAATGTTTTCTGTTTCTTTTTATTTCTCAGAAGAATTGAAGGTTTTGGAATGGGAAGGTGGCTTAAAAGAAGTATAAGAGGAGCAAGGATCAGGAGAGTAGAGGGAAAGGAAGGAGGGGGAGAGATTGTGGGTGAGTAGCAATAGGATATATCTGTATTCTTGACAGTTTTGTCTGTATTATAGTTGGATATTGAAATTGTATTGCTCTATGTGTATTATATACACATTATTGTTAAGAATTCATGTGACTGACACTAGGCTTTTCAGTTTTATCAGTGTAAAGTAGGGCTTCTTAAAGGGCTTTATTGACATTTGACCTAGGTAATTCTTTGTTGTGGGAGGGTTAACCTGTACATTGTAGGACTTTTTTTTTTTTTTTAAGATTTTATTTATTTATTTGACAGAGAGAGAGAGATAGCGAGAGCAGGAACACAAGCAGGGGGAGTGGGAGAGGGAGAAGCAGGCTTCCCGACGAGCAGGGAGCCCGATGTGGGACTCGATCCCAGGACCCTGGGATCCTGACCTGAGCCGAAGGCAGATGCTTAACCACTGAGCCACCCAGACCTACATTGTAGGACTTTAAGCAGCAGCTTTGGCCTCTACCTACTAGAGCTAGTAGCATTCCCTCTAGTTGTGCTTATAAAAAATGCTGCCAGATGTCCTGGGATGGAGGGGTACAAAACCACCCTCAATTGAGAAACTCTGGAAAAGATGGGAAACCTCAGTTTAACTTTTATAAGTAAATGAGTGCTCAGTCATCATTCTTCAGCTGCTGTTTTAATCCACCCTGTATGGTGGGTTTTTTTGTATTTGATATGACTTGTATTCTGTAAGTTTGTAAGTTTGTATTATTTATCAGTAAATAATGTTTGGACCCATTTCTCTCTGTTACCACAGAGTAATGATTTTGGCTTAAATATATCATGTTCTTACTTTGTCAGTATTATCTCTTCTGAGAATCTTCTTTAAAGAGTAAAAAATTAAAATTATTTTTCTTTTTAGAGCGCTTATGTGAAAGTAATTGTATTCATGTATCTTTGCTTTAGGTTTTGGGGTGTTAACTTTTTATGCATGATGTCACTTTCATAGGTATGTCTTGCTATAAGCTCATTGTGTTTAATGGCTTTTGATAAAACTTTTCCTTTAGTACAGTAGTCCCCCTTTATCTGTGGTTTTGCTTTTTGTAGTTTCATTTACCCTCAGTCAGCCACAGTCTGGAAGCAGGTGATCCTTCTCTGACATATCGTCAGAGGGTTGGCAGTAGTAGCCTGACACCGTGTCACAGTGCTTATGTCGTTCACCTCACTTCATCTCATCACGTAGGCATTTTATCATCTAACACTATCACAAGAAGGGTGAGCGTAGTACAGTAAGATATTTTGAGAGAGGGAGACCACATTCACGTAACTTTTTTATAACTTTTTGTTATAATTGTTCTACTATAAGTTGTTGTTAATCTCTTACTGTGCCTAATTTATAAATGAAACTTTATCATAGGTCTGTATGTATAGGAGAAAGTGTAGTATATGTAGACTTTGGTACTATCTGTGGTTTCAGGCATCCTTAGGGCATATCCCTAAGGATATGGAACATATCCCCCTATATAAGGGGAGACTAATTACCATATTGTGAGGTACTCCATATATTTGAGGAAGGAATAGCTTCCAAAGGCATGAATATAATCCAGGACCTCTGGGCTAAGTCTTGATCTTTCCTCTTTTTGCTCCCAACTATAGCAGTTTTCTCCTACATTAAAGGAGTCCTCTTCCTGTGTTAAAGGAGTCATAGACTATCAGTAGCTATCTGGCATTAAGCAGTGGGCTTCATATGATAGGATAATCATTATAGGGAAGCAGCTACCACTGAAGTTTTGTAGGACTTGGACTTATACTTGATTCTTTGGAGTTTTAAATAAATTCAAGTGAGAAAGGAAATCAAACACCAGTTTAGATAATTCATAAAAGAAGGTAGAAAGAGCATAAATTGATACTACTTCTTACTCTGTAACTCTTGCTGTTCGTATTTATTATTATAATTGTTTAAATATCTGCATAAGATACTTGAGCATGGGCTTTTGTACCTCAAGCAGTAGTACATAAGAGGTGCTAAGTAAATGTTTGTTCAGTGGGTGAATGAATCTAAATAATTCCTTCTTTTTATCGAGAAAATGAGGCCAAATTAAATAAAATAACTTGTTCAAATGAGTGAGTAGGACCAGATTTTGAAAGTCTCAGTTCAGGCCTCTTTCCACCATATCTGCTGATATTCTATTTGTTACTTGTTGTTTTCTTCAATTCTGTAGGTTCTCTCTAAATTGCTTATGTTATTTGTCCATATTAGAATAGAAAGATATTTAAGAACAGTTGTATACACATAATGAATACTTAATAATATATTGTTGATTTGTAGAGAGAATCTGAGGAGGCTTTATTTGATTATCGTTTTATCCTCTACAATCCTTTGTGTCCTTAAGTTTTAAAAATTGCGTGGCAAAAGGAAAGGACTGGTCTAACTCAAATGCAAGGATTTCTTTTCTTTTTTCTTTTTTTTTGTTAAGAGTGATTTGAGTTGATTAGTCAGCAGAGGGTGCTCTAACATTGCATTTTAAAAGGTGAAGGTTCTTTTTACTGTAAATCAAGTGTTTAAAGTTTGTATTTGTTTCTTTTATATTAGAATTATTTTGAGAGAACAGGTCCTGGTTCTTCTAAAGAACACTTTGTTTGTATACCCTAATATTGGTTAGATCTTAGGCCTTCAGTATAAATTTTAGAAAAAGCTTTTCTTTCTGTCAATTATAAAAGCAAGTGTCTCTAATAGAATATTATTATTTTGTGTAAACTGACTTATTTTCAGGACTGGTTGTTGAAAGTAAGAAGTTGAGACTACCTTTTGAATTAAAAAAAAAAAGGAGCAAGCACTGATGTTGATCTTAAACATAGATGTAACAGAATGACCCAGGATTTAATACTGTGTCTATCTGGTTTCAAAATTAAATTTCAGGGCACCTGGGTGGCTCAGTTGGTTAAGTGACTGCCTTTGGCTCAGGTCATGATCCCAGAGTCCTGGGACCGAGTCCCACATCAGGCTCCGGGCTCAGCTGGGAGCCTGCTTCTCCCTCTGACCCTCTCCCCTCTCATGCTGTTCTCTCTCTCTCTTAAATAAATAAATAACTAAATAAATAAAATCTTTAAAAAAAAAAGTAAATTTTAACAAAATAACCTCTTAATTATAAATACTGTGCAGACTCTTTTTGGATTCTCTTTTTTCTAAGCTTGTGAATTTCTAAAATTTTATAAATTCTGTAAACTTAAATTTTGCAATGTGATTTACATAGCATTTGAGACAGGTGGTATCCCCTTGTCTGTTTTGTACTTTTTCATGCCTAAGAATAGGGTTAGAAAGCTGTGAAACACAGTGCTAATTTACAGTTGTTTGTGTTAGTTCCATAGGTAAAGCAAGGCAAAATTGATTGTAAACATTAAATTACTTTGGTGTACATTGAGTTGCACCCCCCTTTTTTTTAACATGGGGCTTGAACTTGTAACCCTGAGATCAAAACCTGAGCTGAGATCAAGAGTCCAGTGCTTAACCAACTGAGCTACCCAGGTGCCCCAATTTGTACCCTTTTTTATTCAATGAAATATAATCCTGTTTCCAGTGAATCACTAGTAGACTTATGAATAGGATGCATTTATTTCAGTGAAATGGAGTAGGATGATAGTCTCTCTAGTACATGGGGAAGCTTTCTTTCAATGCTGATGTTAGAATACTGCTTTGCTATCTGACTGCAGATGTTTGGAGTACTGAGAGCACCCTTGGCTGACTTAGGAACATATCCGTTATTGCTATACATGTGACCAGTATGTGTGTATGTATTTTAGCAGTAATGAAAGGGTAAAGAAGAAACACCTTATGCAAAGAAAAATGAAAATATTACTCATTTTGAGAACTGAATTTAGAAAAGACTAGAGCAATGTAAGGAAGAGAAAGAAAATGAGTAAAGTGTGAAATAGACCTAACGCTATTCTGGTACAGTGAATTTTTATCGGGCAGTATAGATTGAACCTTTACTAGTTGGGCCCCCTTCTGGGATTTATTCCAGGTTCATATCCTCACCACTTCCTTTTCTATTAAATTTAGGTTAAATTGGCAGGAGTAGCAACATAACAGATAAATGGTTACATTATGATTTACTTACAGTTATGGCTTATGTGGTTTCTATGTTGTGGGTTAGGAGCCTCCTGACAAAACTATGTAGAGTATCTGTTTAGAGGAGTTATACAAATTAGTACTTTTGAAACCCTTGATGTAAATTAGATTATAGTGTAAGAGAAATTCAGTACCTTTAATTCTTGCCAGTTCTGTTTTCTGTTACAGATTTTCTTTTTTTTTTTTT